ATAATAAACCATCAAATCAGTATGTCCTAAAATTCTTCAGGAAAAAACTGTTTATAACTCATAGTTTAATAATATAGCTATTTTGAAGAAATATATTTCTTTACCCTTTAGAACTGGAATGAGCTAGGAAATGGTGAAAGCAATACAGTAAAACTCTTTTAAGAAACTTATACATGGGCCGGGCTCCGTGGTTCAGTCTGTAATCCCAGCACTTTGGGAAGCCGAGGCGAGTGGATTGCCTGAGCCCGTAGGTTTGAGATCAGCCCTGGCAATTTGGTGAGCCCTCGTCTCTACAATTACAAAAAAAAAAAAAAATTAGCCGGGCTTGGTGGCGCATGCCTGTAGCTCCAGCTACTTGGAAGGCTGAAGTGGAAGGATCGCCTGAGCCAGGCAGGTCGACGTTGGGGTAGCTCTGAGTATGTCACTGTGCTCCAGGCTCCAGCCTGGGCGACAACCCTAACTCAAAAAAAAACAAAAAACAAAAAACATATACATGGCCCCTGAATGACTGTGATTTTATAAATGACTTTTTCAAATAGCTGCCTTGGAAGACAGAGGGCAGAGAGAGTGGTGGTAGTTTAAAATCAGTGTGGTGGCCTCACTTTAAATAAATAACTCCACATAGCAAATACTATTTAAATTGCCAGAATAAAACTTCAAGGGGGTTGGAAATTTAAGATTGAGATTATTGCATGTTATTCTATCATATAATGGATGCCTCAATTTTTAAACAGATGATAGCATTGGTATTTCTGAAATAAAACTACTGTACTTAGAAGTAATTATAGGGCTGGGTGAGGTGGCTCATGCCTGTAATTCTAATACTTTGGGAGGCCAAGGTGGAAGAATAACTTGAGGCGAGGAGCTCAAGACCAGCCTGGGCAACATAGTGTGAGACTGCCTTGACAGAAAGAAAAAAAATTTTTTTAAATCATAATCTCATACTCTTATCCATTTTGTTATATTTCAAAATATGTTATATGTAAATGAAGAAAAAAAGTTCAACTTTAGAAAGAGAACCATTTAATACTATTTTAACTTTCAATAATTAGGATGATATCTAAAAACCAGAAAAAAAATATTTTTTAACAATTTGTTTTTAAAAGATTTTTTGCCTGTAATCCCAACACTTTCCGAGGTGGGAGGATTGCTTGAGCAATTTAACAAGGTCTTGTCTCTACAGAAATCAAAAGTGATAGCGCGTGTCTGTAATCCCAGCTACCCAGAAGGTGGAAGTAGGATTGCCAGAGCCCAGGAGGTCAAGGCTGCCGTAAGTCATGATCACGTATTGAATAAGAGCCTCGGTGACCCCGAGACCCTGATTCGAAAAATAAGTAAAAATAAAAACCAGTTTAAAAATTGTGAAACTGCAACTCTATTTTTCATCTCTGCTGGGATGATAGGCATAAGCCACCGCGCCCAGCCGGTGTGACTCCAACTCTGTATGAAAAGTGTGTGTGTAAGCTACCTACATCTCCACTACCCCTCCCCTCACCTTCCCCCATAGAACAGAGAAAGCAAAAAAAATGTTATAAAACGAAGTTTATTCTGCAATACTTTGTCATAATGAATTGCATCTCTTTGGTAAAAATAAACTTTATAAACATTTGAATAATCAGAGATTAGATACAAAAACTAAACATTTGTAAGTTGTTTTTAATATGAGCGCAGACTGGCAACTGAGAAGTGGTTCACTTGTGACTGGTCATCTACTGGCAGTTAACTCAAATTCAGGATAGTTTTTATGCTACATCAGATAAGAGGATAAGGAAACAGTTTAATAACAAATTTCTTGAATCAGAAAGCATTCTTGCACTTTCATTTAAAAATAAATAATAGTTACAATGAATTGGCAATTATACATTTTATACATTTATATGATGGCAACATAATACTTTAAGCACTTAGTTGAATAAGAAATATACAATTTAAAAAATAAGTTTGACAATGGCACTGGCAGTTAGATGCGAAGAATGTGCTTTAAGAAAAAATGGCAGGTATAACATTAAAATACTCGAATTTGCCTTTCAATAAATATTTTGACTACATCATTAATATATGGAAGTAAACTTTATTTAAATCAAGGCTTACGCATTTCAAACTAACAAAACAAAACTGTAAAATATATGTAAACCAGAAAGCCTCAATGTTTCTTAAGTAAATGCTATGGTCTCCACAAAAGGGTGTTGTGTTACTGCAGTATTTAAGACAATAAAGTCTTTACAGCTTTGTGAAGTAGTCACCTCTGTTGCTTAAATTGCTGGGAAAGGCCGCCTGGTCTACCAAGATACACGTATCCCCTCCTTAACACTTTCTTAAGTGATCATGTAGTATGAACCCTTTACATAATGCCTCAGAAAGTAGCAAAACAAAGACAAAAAAAAAAAAATATATATATATACTAAACTTTGCTATATACAAAATAAAAAAAAATCAAAGCGAAATCATGCTGGCTGAGGCTAGGAAAGGCTCAAAGGTGGGAAAAAGGGCAGTTATCCACCAATCACCAGCTTTTCCATGAACTCAGGTAATCAGTTTTCTTTCTCTGAATTTGAAAAGTAAAGTAAAATATAAACTAATTTAGTAATATATTGCACAAATAAATTTCAAAAATATATATTCAGGAAACACTGATTCTTTTGGGATGTGAAAGGTGAAGAACAATTATGTTGAATCAAAACTTTTACTAGGGATCTATTATAAAATGGTTGCAACAAATTTATATTCTTTTGATGTAAGGCAGATTATATGTTAGCTAAAATCACAGTTTTAAGATCTGTTGGAAAATATGTAATCTCCCTGGGGTTTCCAAGTTGTTTATTATTACAGTAAACTTTGTTATTCATATATTATTGGGAATACAATTTTTCCAGTCCACAGGACTTAGAATGACTTTCCTTAATTGGGTGGTTAGCCATGGTTCTATCTCAACACACCTGAGGAATGAGATCGAAATCTCAATGGAAGTATTAACAGGGGGACCATAATTTAAAAGGTTCTTCCCCTTGAAAGTAACTTCCTTGGTATATTATCAAGTGGAAAGTGATGTGCTATATTCCATATAGAATTAAGTGTAAAATATTGTGTAACTTCTCCCTGTTAGCTTTTGGTACACAAGTGTTTATTTTCCTTGCTAGAGATGAACGTAACTTAAACATTTAAATTTGTGGGAGAGTACATCTGAGGGGAAAAAAAAAAAAGAAAACTCAAAGGATTTAAATAATTATTGTTATGTATATTAAGACAAAATAACTTCGAAGATCCCTATTAGATAAAGCTGGAAATAACTCTGCTCCTTATCTGACATGATTTTCCTTTACTTAGAAGAGTAAGTATCCAAAGGATAGGAACCAGGTTGAACACTTGTGATAGAGAATTTCAGTAGAACAAAATAAACTGGAACTGGATCACGGAAACACTGTTACTAAGGTCTAGCCAGAAGGCTATGATAAATAGCTTAAAAATATAGTTATTAAATTGATTTGTGTAACCTCTATTTTTTATTGCATGGTAAAAAGCATTTTTGTTTATTTCAGTGTTTTATTCACCATCTACAGTAAAAGGTGCTAACTTGGTTTAGCCATTTTCTGTGCAGGTGACATAAATAACAAAAACTCAAATATCTCATCCTGCATGCTTAATTCATTATCCACAAATTTTTAAAATACTATATTTCAACAGCACCAGTTTCGTTAACATGGCTATCCAGGTTAAATTAAAATTAATGAAATAGGACAGCGAACATTGATACTATTATCCCTGGCTTAAAGTCTTGTCAATTGAAAAAGATGTTTTTAGCGTTCTTCTCATTTGACTGTTTTGCCCAAATAAAACTTAGAAGTTAAAATAAAAACATTTGTTTCTTTAAAACCAAACCAAACCAAACCAAAAATGCTTCATAGTGATAGAAACAGCAGAAAGCAGCAAACTGACATCATGACCTTGACTATGTGTACATATGTATGTATATGTATGTATAAACATTATCAGAAAGATGAAAACAAAGCCATTGTCTATGAAACAAAATGTAGCATTAGATTTAACTTTTGGAAAGTTGTTTCCACCACTGTAAAAAAATTGAGTAAGTTTAGTTTATTAGTATCCCTTGTTCTTTCTGAATAATCTAGTCAAACCATACAAATAATATTATGAAAAACTGTCTCATACAAGCAGATTGTTCAAATACTTAAAATACCTTAGACAGTACACTTTTGGAACAGTAATATAAAATCTTTTAGCGTGGATTAATGGCACATATAGATTTATACTGCTTCCTCAAAATGGGGTATTGTTTAAGATCTAATTTTAAACAAAATCTGAAATTTGTGAGGGTATTTTGTCTCTACAGTTTCATTAAATCTTTTAAAGTTTAATTTGGTATACATACGAATTTAAGTCATACAAAATATGGGTAGAAGTTTTTTCTGAAATAAGCCACCTTTATTTATGATAACATAAGTAATGTGTTCAAAAAGTTTTATTACACTCCATTCCTATTACAAAACTCTCAAAATTTAGTATATTTGGCAGGCAAATAAAAGATTATCTTACTGTCAAAGTGTGTCAAAATGAGTGTTACTCCACAACACACACTCTATGGCTATATCCTCTCACTGGATAACTTCTACTCAACAAAGGCAGTTAGTTTTACTTAATGTTTGTAAAGCACTTTGGGCAAGAACAAAGGGCCCCAGAAATGCCACTGTAATAGGAATTGGGAGTGTTCTTAGATGATGTCACACCACAAAATTGCTTCTTCTAAATCTTAGAACTCTTTGTTGTATTCTTTACCTATGTAGTCAAACAGAACTTTCTAAATATCCAGGATCTTTTCCAATGTATGTCTGACTTCGCTCACACCACAACAAAAAAAATAATTAAAAATAAAAATTAAGACAAAATAGAAAATTCAAATCTTATCCTACTGGATTGTGTGTCAGGAGACGAGTACATGAAAAAAGACATCAGCAAAAATTTTAGCTGGATCAGTAACTGTAGTTAATTGCAGACTGGAAAAGAAAATTTTTAAAAAGTTATAGAGTTGCCAAATCTTACATTTTGACATATCAATAGAAGAACAGATTTTTCCTACAAGTTTAAGATAGAAGCTGGGGATTTTTTTTATATAAAAATTTCCAAATCTTGGAGACACTTATCACAAAAATTATGCTTTTAGGCCTTCACATCATATATTTATGATTGGGCATGATCCTAAGAGCAGTTGCTTAATAGAAATTTAAAAACCGAAAAATGTTTTGAAAACAAAATAACAAGTAATTAGCACCCCTCCCCCACCCTAAAACTAAAGAAGTCCATTATGGCTTTGATATCCCTTGTCAAGAGTTGAGTTAAAGAGTATTGCCACACTTTAAAATAATTTCACACTAATAAGTATTTCTATTTTTTCCGTTGCTTTTGATTTTGTGTCTTTGCAGTACTTATTAGGGAACCTAGACATGTGCGAATTCCAGCAAGGTGGAGCAGAGATCCAGCTGCCTCTTTGAGCTCCTCATCAATTTCTTGACGTGACTGTTTTCGCATCTTTTTGCCTGACTGTCCTTTTTCAAAAACTTCTGCACAGGCCTGTGATGCATAGCCACTGTCTCCAAGAGGATCATCTTCATAATCCACATCTGTATCTTCTTCACTATGGAATCCTTCACTGCCGTCACTTCCCACGTGGCTGCTCTTTGGGATAAACTCATACACCTCATCCACAGAAGACAGGGAAGACATGCTCGACCTGGATGCGCAGCGCTGTGCTGCCATGCTACTTGCACTGTAATTGTGATCTTCTTTTGGATCAATGCTGGTGGCTAAAGAATCACTCTCATGTAATCGTACAGCACTAGGATGACTGAAAGCATTGCCATAACTCCTCTTTTTTTGCAATGCTGTTTTAAGAGGAAGAGGCTTCTCACCTGTGGAAAACAGAACTTCTATCAATATGTCAAAAGCATTTTATTGCAAAAACAGACCATTTAAAACCATCGTATTACTCCTGAGCAGTAAATGCTTTTGATTAGTAATGCTCTGTAGGTTTTTTACATTTTTACCCAAATCATCTCATTCTGCAGGCATTAATTTGAAATATTTTTCAAGGGTACCTGTGTAATGAACATTTGTATACCTAACCCTGAACTGTACCCCACATCTTTAAAATAAAAAATTTAAAAATAAAAAAAGAAATATTTTTAAGCCTTTAACAATGTCCTAGAAATTTTCCATAGAATATACAATTGTTTTTAACTGCTTGCGTATAATGCCACAATATGAATATACCACCATTTAGCTAGCCATTTCCTTGGTGATACTTAGCTTGTTTCCAACTTTCCACCAGTACAAATAATGCTGCCATATAAATCCTTCCAGATGCCTTTTCTTGAACATACACAAATAATTTTCTAGGAGAGTTACAAAAATAGAATTGCTAAGTAAAGAGATATACATATTTAAACTATAACTGGTATTTGAGCGCAATGGCTTATGCCTGTCATCCTAGCACTTTGGGAGGCTGAGGAGAGAGGATGACTTGAGCCCAGGAGTACGAGACCAGTCTGCTGGGCAATGTAGTGAGACCTTGTCTCTATTAATCTATACGTATCTGGTAGTCCCAAATTGCCCTCTAAAATGGTTGTACCAAGTTACACACAACAGAGTGTTATGAAACCTATTTCCATACTTAGCAAGTAATATTAGCAATCATTTTAATTTTTTATAATCTTGTGGACAAAAAAGTTATCGATAGGTTCATTTTGCATTTTCCAATTTCTAGAGGAGCTGCACATTTGCGTACATGTGTATTATTCATATATTTCCTCTTCTGAGACCCACCTATTTATATTTTGCTGACTTTTCTGTTGAACTGCTTTTTTTCCCCTTTAACTTGTAGGATTCTTTTATATATAGACTCAGTAAAAAAAAAAAGTTTTCCCAGTATTTCTTAAGGATATACTTTCCTATGCTTTCTTATTTATAGCTTTCATTTTTACTTTTGGCTCTTCAAGCTTATTTTCTAAATATGCAATTTTTTCCTCCTTAATTTCTTGGCCAATGTAAAAAAAAAAAAAAAAACTCTAATAGCATTAACTTCAATCTCTCAATTGCTCATATAAATTAATGGAAATAAAACAGAAACTAAGTTTCAGATTAAAACGAATTTTCACTGGAAAGAAGTGTCTATAACACTTAACATTTTGCATTTGAAATTAAATTTAAAAAAGAACTCACAAGAATGTATTCTAAAAAGGAAAGCGTAACTGCTTACATTCTAAAATTCCTTGTTCTATAGAAGTATTTAAAAGCATCATTGCAGTGGCAGCATCAATATCAGATTCTGAAAAGGGAAAAAAGAGCCAATATTAAAGTTCTTTATAAAATAGAGGCTATTATGATATTATGTTATATATATATTTTGAAATCTCATTTTATTCACTTAAAATTACTGAACAGTTTTGTGACAGTACTGTATAACAGAGAATGAAGAGGTACTAGTGATAGCAAAAATTTTCTTTTTTAATTACTCACAATGAAAATTAATACTTGGAATGTATTTCAATAAGGTTTGCCCTTAAACAGACAAAATTAAGTAAGAATGTACAGCATTACTACTTGTTTGCATTTTTACCGTGAGTATACTTACCTATGTGTATCTGCAGTTTTTAAGTACTGCATTAATTACATGGTAGTTGTAGGAAATAAAAATATGTACAAGGGGGGACCCCAAAAAACCCAGAATTTATTTATGAAAAATTGTGTGTTTATTCTTACATGATTACAATTCAACCACCTTCAAAGTACACTGTTTGATACAATCGGTAACTGAAATGCTTTTTCCACTGCTCAAAACAGTTTTTGAACTCATCAATATTGATGCCTTTTAGTGCTTCTGCCGTTTTTTGTTTCACCTCTTCCACTCAGTGCGGTATAGGCAGATGTGCTTGTAAATCGCCCATCATGAAATGGGCAAATGCCTAAGAATCTCCAAAAAAAATTAACTGAAGCCGAATGCTAGCTGGTATACTGATGCTGAAGGATTCCTAGAACATTCACCTAGTGAGGGAAGCCTGTACTACAAAGGGCCTGCCCTTCAAAAGATAATTCTGGGTTTTTTGGGTCCCTCCTCATAATTGGTCAGCTTATATCATGTGATTCTATAAATTTTAAATAATTATTGTAGGAACAAAAATATTACTAATGTTTTTAGTCATAATTATTCATAAGACTACAAGTACTACAGATTTATATAATACTCATGAGATTAAACATAATTATTGATATTCTATTATAATGGGCTTTAAAAGTCTGGTAAATCAGCAGGTTCTACTACAGTCAGTCATTATGCTCTCTTATCTACTTATATATCACTATTGTGAATTTTTCTCCATTTTGGTGAGAGATTAGTCTGAATAACTGAATGGAGAAGTAAAATGGAATATCCAAAATGTGACAAAAAGTTTTAAAATGTTTATAAATTTTAGCTAATAAAGGACAAATTTAGGCCAGGCCCAGTGGCTCACACCTATAATCCCAGCACTTTGGGAGGCAGAGGTTAGAGGACTGCCTGAGCCCATGGGTTCGAGATCAGCCAGGTCAACTTTGTGAGACCTTATCTCTACAATAAATCAAAAAGTTAGTCAAGCATGGTGGCACATGCCTATTGTTCCAGCTACTTGGAAGGCTGAGGTGGAAGGATCACCTGAGCCCAGCAGGTTGAGGCTGCAGTGGCCATGAGCATGCCACTCTACACTCCAGCCTGGGTGACAGAGTGAGACTCCAACTCCAAAAAGAAAAAAAGGACAGATTTAAAATAAGACTCAGCCGGGCTCGGTGGCTCAGCCTGTAATCCCGCACATTTGGGAGGCTGAGGTGAGTGGATTGCCTGAGCCCGCGGGTTCGAGACCCGCCTGGGCAGCGAGACCTCATCTCTACAATAAATCAAAAAATCAGCCGGGCGTGGTAGCGCATGCCTGTAATTCCGGCTACTCGGAAGGCTGAGGTGGAAGGATCGCCGGAGCCCAGCAGGTGAGGCTGCGGTGGCCGGGAGCGGCCACTGCACTCCAGTCTGGGGGACAGAGTGAGACTCCAACTCAAAAAAAAAAAAAAAAAAAAAAAAAAGACTCAGATATGAAGCCTCCCATCCATATCTCAAAGTTGGAAATTTTTACTATGAAGTTTTTCTAATTTAGTTATAATATCTAATTATAAATTTATTGTAGATAATAAAGCCATAAATATATTTACTAGTTTTATCCCCAACTGGACCATAAACTTTCTTCAGGCAGAAAATGTTATTGTCATTGATAACATTAACAGGATTAAGTAAATCAGAAGATGGTTGCTAAGAGACAGCACACAATGTTATACCTCATTTCCACTCAAATAAAAGATTACCTCATGATCCACAGCTATCATCTTATTGAACAAGGAAAAGCAGAGATCAGCTTTTCTTCTAAGAACTGGAACAAGACAAGGATGCCCACCCTCACCACTCTTATTCAGTATAGTACTAGAAGTCCTATCTAGAGCAATTAGGCAAGAGAAAGAAAGAAAGGGCATCTAACTGAAAAAAGAGTAAATCAAATTGTCCACTTACAGAAAACATGATCATATATATAGAAAAACCTAAAGACTCTACCAAAAACTCTTGGAACTGATAAAGGGATTCAGTAAAGATCCAGGATACAAAAATTAGTAGCAATTCTGTACAAGAACAATAAACTAGCTAAAAAAGAAATAAAAATGGTAATCCTATTCCCAATAGCTACAAAAAATAAAATACCTAGAAAATGAAGATGATACAAATAGACATCCCATGTTTGTGGATAAGAATAGTTAAAATGACAACATCCAAAGCAATTTACAGATCCAATGCAATTTCTATAAAACTTCCAAAGACATTCTTCAAGAAAACACAAACAAACAAACAACCCCCCCATAAGACCCTAAAATGTGTATGGAACCATAAAAGACCCCAAATAGCCAAAACAATCCTTAGCAAAAAGAACAAAGCTGGAGATATTACACTACCAGACCTCCAAAACAGCATGGCACTGGCATAAAGTAGATACAGAAACCAAATGGAACAGAATAGAGAACCCAGAAATTAATCCACATATCTACAGCCAACTGATTTTTGACAAAGGTGCCAAGGATACTCTTGGGGAAAGAACAGTCTCTTCAATAAATGGTGCTAAGGAAAGTGGACTCCCATCTCTCACACCACACAAAAATGAACTCAAAATAAATAAAAAACCCCAATGTAAGACCTGAAACAATAAAACTATTAGAAGAAAACTTCTTAGGGAAAATATTTCAGGACATAGGTCTGGGAAAAGATCTTATGAATTCTTATTTATGAATTCTTATTTATAAGCACAGACAACAAAGCAAAAATAAATGAGATAATATCCAACTAAAGCTTCTGCACAGCAAAGGGAAACAAACAATCAACAGGGTAAAATGACAATTTATAGGATGGAAGAAAATATTTGCAAATTACTCATCAGACATGGGATAGATGATATCCAGAACATATAAGGAATATAAACAAATTCTCAGCAAAAACAACAACAAAAAAAATAAACAAAAAAACCCCAATCTGATTTTTAAAATGGGTAAATGATGATCTGGTATACACATTTCTCAAGAGAAGACATACAAATGGCCAAATAAATTAAGAGGAATGGGAGATACAGAGTGTTGGGGAAGATGTTTGTGATTTTAAATACAGATGTCAGGAAAAGCCTCAAGGAGAAAGTAACAGTTGGGCAAAGACCTCAGGGAGGTAAGATAGTGATATAAGGGAAAAGCATATCAGGCAGGAAAAAACAGCAAGTACAATGGATTTGAATCAATGATGCCCCACATGTCATAGACAAGACGCTAGCAAAACAAAGATCTCTCCAATTCCTGTCTTTTAGAATGAGACCTGAAACTGATAGAGTTCAGTACTCCAATATGACTTGGAAGAAAAAAAAGATGCAGCTGCTAGACCATACTGTGTTTCTGTGTGAACTGGAAAAAAGGCAACTTTCCTTCCAGGTGAATACTTCCTTATTCAAGGCACACAGCTAGAAGAATGGAGTGTGGGCTGAATGTCAGACCCACTCCCTGCCTCAACCAGGCTTCCTTACACAGGGCACAATTTGCATGGTATTACGCAAAGTCCCTAACATAGAGTCCTGCTCTGTGAACTTTTTCTTTTTAAAGAGGATCTACCTTGTCTCCAATTTTATGAAAAAGGGACAGAATCTAACATCGAAATGAGTTACAATGAGGAGCCAATTACAGGAAATAAAAATGAAGTGCCTATAAAATAATCTTATTTTAAAACATTAGTGTATCTCTAACTTGACTTCTTATAACGAACTTCCATTATAACCCAAGGAGCATATTTTTGAAATATAACAACTAAAACGGATAAGAGACTTATCCTGATAACATAAGAAAGCTACATAAACACCATTTCTTTTCTTAATTTTTGAACCTTTAAAAACCCCTGGACCATGGACTGGTACCAGTCCATGGCCTGTTAGGAACTGAGCAGCACAGCAGGAGGTGAGCAGCAGGTGAGCAAGCAAAGCTTCATCTGTATTTACAGTGGTTCCACATCACTCTCATTACCATCTGAACTCCGCCTTCTGTCAGATTAGCAGGGGCAGCAGATTCTCTAACAGCGCAAACCCTATTATGAACTGCGCATGCGGGGGATCTAGGGTTGTGTGCTCCTTATGAGAATCTAGTTAGTACCTGATGATCTGAGGTGGAGATGCCAGTACTGGGGAGTGGCCACGAACACAGATTAACACTAGTACTGAGGTGTGACTGCATTATCACCACCACCCTACACCTCCCTCTCCACCCAAAAACTGTCTTCTATGAAACTGGTCCCTGATGACAAAAAGGTTGAGAATCACTGTTTTAAAGTGAAAAGAATTAGGTCTAGCCGGGCTCGGTGGCTCAGCCTGTAATCCCGCGCCTTTGGGAGCTGAGGTGACTGGATTGCCTGAGCCCGCGGGTTCGAGACCCGCCTGGGCAGCGAGATCTCATCTCTACAATAAATCCAAAAATCAGCCGGGCGTGGTAGCACATGTCTGTAATTCCGGCTACTTGGAAGGCTGAGGCGGAAGGATCGCCAGGGCCCAGCAGTTTGAGGCTGCGGTGGCCGGGAGCGGCCACTGCACTACAGTTTGGGCGACAGAGTGAGACTCCAACTCAAAAAAAAAAAAAAAAGAAATAGGTCTTTCTCTAGAATAGTAGAATGTTAGAAAACAATGTTCCTTAAATAGGTTTATTTCTTGTAGATAATTTATTATCATCAAATTAATTTGACTC